CTAAAGGTGACATAGGTTCTTTATTATGGTATAGTATTTAAATATATGCCTAAGAAACACATAATATTGCCCCTTTAAAGTAGAACTGCAATGCTTTGCTCTGAATTTCTCCTTATTGTAACTCCACAAGCCCCCACTTCACCCCCTTTCAGAGGTGAGTCTGAAAGCAACTCGTTTTGGTCACTTCAAGAGGTACTTCACACCCCACCCTCCAATCGCAATGATCATTGTCCACTCCACCCTGTTCGGCCATTTTTGTAGTTTGTTTGCAAATAGGAACGTCTAACAGCGCATAAATGTTTTATTTACAAATTGATTAAAAGACGCCAACAACAGCCTTATGAAACCATCACACGGGACGGGGTAGTGACGGCAGCATTGCAAATCGCACTCTCAGGTTACTTGTCTCCAAGAAAGTTGATTGGTTCWTTTGTAGATTTTATTGGCAGATGGCAAAAAGCTGAGTGGTGCGCATTATTGCCACCAAATGAAACAGAGAATTTGAATTTATTAATGAAATTGGAGAGATTTTCAAAGAGGTCCATGATCTTTCCATTTGTATTTTATATGTTTGATTTTAAAGCAGTTTGGACACAGCTAAAATAAAGTTAATAATAAATGAGAGAGACTAAATTCAACTCTTTGACACTCGACTCCAAGTACACAACAAAATGCAATCAAGGGCTAAAAAGTGGATTTTACATTATGTCCCCTTTAAAGGGGTAATGCAAAAACTAATGGAAAAAGACCTTCAAAATACAGTACAACCCAAGTGATCAGGTCACATGGGATCATATCAATGTAGTTTTTTAAATCATGCATAAGAAGTTGCTGTCATGTAATTTTCCATGCTTGTAAACAATGTATTGCATGTAGAATATATTTTTCTTCGCTGATCCTCAATGACAGTGAAGTGAACTACCTGTGTTCTGATGAGTAACCTTTGTCATCTCATCACTCTCTCCCTCAGGAGTTCACCACAACAGAATAATTATCAAACCAATTAGTGACGAAACGAAACATGGAACTTTATCCGAATCGTCATAAGAAAAAATGATTAGAGAGCAGATTGAGATCAAAATAACACAAGAAGTAAATTCAAAGTTTCCACCAAGCTTTCCTCCGATTCTTCATGATGTAGTCTTTAGCAACCTCGTTCCCAGCTTCACTTCTTCTCGCTAAGCCTATAATATTCCTCTCAAGCTTCTGGGATCATCTGACGAAAAGAACATTTCATGCACCGCCTGGTGTGACACTTCACACTCCACCTCGCCACAGCCACTGCCAGTCGTTTGTAAGAAAATTACATAACCAAATGCTTGTTATGTAAAAAAGAAAGAGGAAAAAAAAAAAGAAAAGAGGGACTAATGATTGTATAGCCACAAAAAACAGAAAAAAAACATCTCAATTAGTTGAACTTTGTCACATTATTAGAATAACTTCCTGACCAGCTCTTATGATAGAAACACAAATTTTTTAATCATAAAGGACTTTTCTTTTAAAATACAAAGTGGCCTTGTGCTACGTTTTCTATTTATAACGCTTGTCTAACTTCTATATATTTGTCTCATCTTCCTCTTCACCTTCTCTCTTGCTACCTCTTCATCTSTCTTCCCTCGCTGTGATCAAACATTCATGTGGCATGGGAATAGCTGCGAGAGTTCCTTTACTTCTYCTCTCCTCCCTGTCTATTTTCAGAGCTCCTTCCAATGCGAGCTGTAAATCAGTTGTTATATAACCTTTGTGAGTCTCCACCTCCCCTCTTGTCTATCTAAACAGCTTTCTCTCTTAGTCTATCATTTTCCCTGTAGCACTTGTTAATTTTGTGCCCTCTTTGTCTGCCGTCTCCTTATTTTTCCCTCTCTCTCTCCGTCCATCTGGCATTCTTCTCCTAGTTCTAGTAAAACTGCTGCAGGAGGCCGAGTTCTCAATGATGCATGAAATGTCCCCCTCCTCGTTGATGAAGTCGTCATTCCTCAGCTTTGCTGCCTTATGAATAATGAGTGAAAGTGGATACATATTTATTGCATGAGTGTTTTTAGTCTCCGTGACTTCAGCTTTTTCCAGTTGGGGACAACAAATCAATCAGCTGCATGTTTGTGTGTGTTAAGTAAGCTGCAGTAGCAGCGCACACACATGTATGTGTGTTGATGGGCGTAGGAGGGAGAAATTCAGAGCCGGTCCATGCTTTTCATGGGGCTCGGTTGCCACAGCAACCGCCTAAGAGTTGCATGCGGTTGCGCTACATGTGACGTGTGGTCTGATGAGGAAGCTAACAAAACAGAAGGGAAGGGGAAGGGGGGAGGTGTGGAAATCTGCGCTCTTACTGTTCAGGTGAGTTGATATCCTCCAGGGGACCTCTGCTTATTCTGGAGGGATCCATGGAGCCCCACTGTGCTTGTGGTTTCTGCTCCAGGTGGTTCTTCAGTATCGATTTCTCTCCATCTGCAGCGAAACACGTGTCAAYGTTAAAAACATGATAATCTGGTGAATGGACTGCCATACTTTGCTTCTCAGCTGTTATTATGCACCTGTATGAGCAAGCGTGAATTGGACTTTCACGTAGCTTTCCTCCCGGAGCACATCTCTGGAATACTTTGGTCCTAAAGCTATTTTAAAAATGTAGAATTAAAGGCCTAACATTCCTTTAAAAGATGCATGTAGCCTGTTGGTTTTTTATGGGATAAATCTTGAGCCAGCAGGAAATGAATTTGAATTGTTCAGATTGAATCTGAATGTGCATAATTTGAAATTCAATGCATTGGTTTGAAAATTCATTTTACTAAATTGAAATTGAATTTAATGATTTGAAACTGAATTTAAAGTTTTGTATCTGAATTTGCTTTGAAACTGTATTTGGTTTATTGAAAATTCAGTTTGACTACTTTCACTTTCAGTTCCATAATTGAATTTCAGTTCCAAAATCCAAATTATTGTGTCACACATCCTGGTCGTTGAGAAAGCCAGCCAGAGTAATCAAACACAGATCAACAGATTTATGTTTCACTTTGGTGAAGTTTCTCTTCTGTAATGTAACAGAGTTGATGCAATCCACCGTAAAAGTGACAAAAACTGACAGTTATTTCATTGCAGTGATTAATTTTACCTTTATGTAGAAAATGTTACATTTACATCACATCATGGATCACATATTGATCAGATGCTGCTGCTGACTGATCCATGATCCGTGCCTTTTTGAACTAAATTGAATCAAAAGTTGCAGATGATTACTTTCTAAGTCATTAATCACAAAGGCGTTTCTWTAAAATCTGTCCAGTGGTTCATGAAGTATTTTTAACAGCTCAACAGGGTCAACTAACAGATAATACAAATGTTTTAGGCAAATATTTTGTTTAATATTTAGTGCTTGGAGTATGTTTAGGGCAGTAGTGTCCAGTCCTGGAACTCGAGGGCAGCTGTTTGTTTCACTGCTTCAACACGCCTGATTCAGTGATTGAATAACCTCTTCAAGTTCTGCAGAAGCCTGTTCATTACTTATTCATTCAATTCAGGTGTGTTGGAGCAGAGAAACCTCTAAAACATGGCTATTCAACTGCCGGTCCGTGGGTCATATCCGGCCCATGGAAGACAGCAATCTGGTTCACCACCTTCATTTAATGTCAAATTGTAAATTTTAAATTTATGATTCAATGCAACAAAATAAATGTTCTTTGACAGAATGCAGTGTTTCACCTACCAGTATCGTGCTCCCGCAGCTGGATATCCGGCCCCTGAGCTGTTGGCTTTGAGTAACTAGGGCCCCCTGAGCTATTTAGTTGTATAGTTTGCTCTAAAACATGCAGGATCATGGCCCTCAAGGACCAGGATTGGACTCTTTTGTTATAATGGATGACTTTCAGCTACTGCTGCACCAAATGTTAGCTCAATAAATGTGAAACTGACTGAATTATAGGAATTCTTATGTTTGCTAACGTTGATTAGCTGTGGTAGCCATCTTGAATTAGTTTGATTCTGATTCATTTGTAGACGTACATCTAATTATTACTTTATTTAATTTGAATGACGCGAGTTCTGTGGTACGTGAAATATATACTACATATGAACACACACGGACAAAAACTCTAAAGGGGCAATATCATGTAAAATCAACTTTTTTGAGTTTTATGTCATGTTATAACGTTATACTCTCATAAAAAAAAACATGTCCAAAGCCTTGCTTTGACTCATTCATGCATGTTTGAGAAATCCTGCAGTGTTTTTAGGAAGCCATGCTGAGGAGCAAAACGACAGGTGGGGACCAGAAACGCCTCTGGGACGTGTCTTTAAGCCGAATTTCCTCAAGGCAGAGCGCACCCCCTCCCCCCTCCCTCCCCACACATCCCGCCCATGACTCCTGCAGGCTCTCGGGTGAAACTGAAAGTGAAACTTAACTGTCTGCTGAGCTCTCATAACTTCTCACTCAGTGAAGCTCTTTTCAGATCAAAAATACCTTTGAGGAAATGTATTTTCAGATGCCAAGTAATCATAGCACATG